TATAAAGGAAAACCTATCAGAATTACACCTGACTTCTCCAGGGAAACTCTGAAAGCCAGAAGGTCCTAGATAGATATTCTACCAACACTAAAAGACCATGGACGCCAGCCCAGACTACTATACCAGGAAAAGCTCTCAATCACTATAGATGGAGAAAACAAGATATCCCATGACAAAACTAGATTCAAACAATACATATCCACTAACCCAGCTCTACAGAAAGTTCTGGAAGGAAACTCTAACCCAAGGAAGTTAACTACAACCAGAAAAACATAGGCAATAGATAATCCCACCTTACCAACAGCCAAAAGAAAAAAGGGGTGGAAATCCACATATAATTCCACCACCACCAACCCTTCCAAATAAAAGAAGAATGAGCAATCAATGGTCATTAATATCCCTCAATATTAATGGCCTTAACTCGCCCATAAAAAGACACAGGCTAACAGGATAGATTCAAAGAACCCATCCTTCTGCTGCATAAAAGGGACACCCTCAGCCTCAAAGACAGACATTACCTCAGAGATAAAGGTTAGGTAAAGATTTTCCAATTAAATGGACCCAAGAAACAAGCGGGGGTAGCAATCCTAATATCTAACAAATTAGATTTTAAAATAAAATCAGTCAAAAGAGATGAAGTAGATCATTTCATATTCATCACAGGAGAAATCCACCAAGATGAAGTTTCAATTCTGAACATCTATGCCCAAAATACAAAGACATCCACGTTCGTAAAAGAAATATTACTAAAACTCAAATCACATATAAAGCCCCACACACTTACAGTGGGAGACTTCAACAGCCCACTCTCACCACTAGACAGGAATATCAGACAGAAACTTAACAAAGAAGCAAAGGAACTAATAGAAGTTGTGACCTAATTGGGATTAACAGATATCTATAGAACATTCCATCCACATAAAAAAGAATATACCTTCTTCTCAGCGCCACATGGAACCTTCTCAAAAATCAACCACATACTTGGCAACATATAAAAACTCAACAGGTACAAAAAATTGGCATAACTCCATGCATCTTATCAGACCACCATGTGTTAAAATTAGAATTCAAGAACAACACAAATTGCAGAAACCATACAAACCCATGGAAATTGAATGATGTGCAATTGCACCATTCCTGAATCAAAGAAGAAATAAAAAAGAAATTAAAGATTTTCTATAATTCAATGAGAATGAAGACACAGCACACCCAAACTTATGAGACAATTTGAAAGCAGTGCTAAGAGGAAAGCTCATAGCACTAAGTGCCCACATGAAGAAACTGGAGAATAGTCACACTAGAGAATTAACAGCACAACTGAAAGCTCTAGAACAAAAAGAAGCAAACTCAACTAGGAGGAGTAGACACCAGGAAACAATCAAATTGAGGGCTGAAATCAATAAGGTAGAAACTAGGAATACAATACAAAGAATCAATGTAATGAAGACTTGGTTCTTTGAGAAAATCAACAAGGTAGACAAAACTTTATCCAAACTTACGAAACAGCAGAGTGTGAACCTGCAAATTAACAAAATCAGAAATGAAAAGGGGAACATGACAATGGACACTGAGGAAATACAGAGAATCATCAGGTCATACTTTGAAAAGCAGTACTCCACACAATTTGAAAATTAAAAGGTAATGAACAATTTTCTGGATAGCTATCACTTGCCAAAATTAAATCAAGAACAGATAAGCAATTTAAATAGACCTATAACCCCTATGGAAATAGAAGCAGTCATCAAAAGTTTCCCAACCAAAAAAAAAAACCCAGGTTCAGATGGCCTCAGTGCAGAATTCTACCAGAAATTCAAAGAACAGCTTATACCAATTCTTCACAAAGTATTCCACACAATAGAAGCAGAAGGGTCTTTGCCAAACACTTTTTACAATGCTTCAATTACCTGGATCACCAAGCCACACAAATACACAACTAAGAAAGAGAACTTCAGAAAAATACCCCTTATGAATATTGATGCAAAAATACTCAATAAAATACTGGCAAATCGGATCCAAGAACACATCAAAACAATCATTCACCACGATCAAGTAGGTTTCATCCCAGGGATGCAGGGATGGTTCAACATACGAAAATCCATCAATGTAATCCACCATATAAACAAGATGAGAAACAAAATCACATGATCATTTCACTAGATGCTGAAAAAGCCTTTGACAAAATCCAACACTACTTTATGATAAAAGTCTTGAAGAGATCAGGGATAACAGGAACTTACCTAAACATAATAAAAGCTATATACAGCAACCCAACAGCCAACATCAAACTAAATGGATAGAAACTCAACGCAATTCTGTTAAAATCAGGAACAAAACAAGTCTGTCCACTCTCTCCATCTCTCTTCAATATTGTATTTGAAGTTCTAGCTAGAGCAATAAGACAACGAAAGGAGATCAACGGGATACATATTGGAAAGGAAGAGGTCAAAATTTCACTATTTGCAGATGATATGATAGTTTACATAAGTGATCCAAAAAACTCTACTAGGGAACTCCTACAGCTGATAAATACTTTCAGCAAAGTGGCAGGATACAAGATCAACTCAAGAAAATCAGTAGACCTACTATATACAGACGATAAAAGGGCTGAGAAAGAAATCAGAGGAAAATCACCCTTTACAATTGCCACAAACAACATAAAATACCTTGGGGTAATGCTAACCAAACAAGTGAAAGACCTGTATCACAAGAACTTTGAGTCTTTAAAGAAAGAAATTAAAGAAGTCACCAGAAAATGGAAAGATCACCCATGCTCTTGGATAGGTAGGATCAACATAGTAAAAATGGCAATCCTGCCAAAAGCAATCTACAGATTCAATGAAATCCCCATTTAAATACCAGCACAATTCTTCATAGACCTTGAAAGAACAATAATCAACACTGTATGGAAAAACAAAAGACCCAGGATAGCCAAAACAACACTCTCCAACAAAGCAACATCTGAAGGCATCACCACCCCTGATTTCAAGTTCTATTATAGCACTATAATCCTGAATACGGCTTGGTATTGACACAAAAATAGACAGACCAATGAAATCAAATTGAACACCCTGATATTAACCCATACATGTATAAACATCTGATTTTCGACAAAGAAGCTAAAAATATACAATGGAAAAAAGAGAGCATCTTCAACAAATGGTGCTGGCATAATTGGATGCTGGCATGTAGAAGACTGCAGATAGAACCATGTCTATCGCCGTGCACAAAACTTAAGTTCAAGTGGATCAAAGACCTCAGCATAAATCCAGCCACACTGAATCTCTTAGAAGAGAAAGTGGGAGGTATCCTTCAGCGAATTGGTAAAGAAGACTGCTTCCTGAACTTAACACCAGTAGCACAGACACTGAGGTCTAATTTAAGTAAAAAAAAAGACATCTTTATTTATTGTATATACGTGTCCCTGCAGGCCAGAAGAGGGCGCCAGATGTAATTACACATGGTTGTTAGCCACCATGTGGGTGCTGGGAATTGAACTCAGGACATCTGGAAGAGTAACCAGTGCTCTTAACCTCTGAGCTCTGTCTCCAGTCCCATCTGAAATTTTCTATATAGACTAGACTGCCCTCAAAGTTATAACAATCTTCCTGCCTTTGGGATTATAAGCAAGCACTACAGCCCTGGCAAAGCCTAAATTCTCTTATCACTTCCACGAGCATTTAAGTACTGAAAACTTAACTTGGTTTGAAGGAAACTGATTGTACTAAAACTTAAGTAGAATAATTAATGGCCATGCCCCAAAGCTTATTCTGGAAAGTATGGTTTTCCATATTCTACGAGTCAGTCATTGGGTTCCTTCTTGAACTACCCATCCAAAAACATAAATCAGTGCCTTTCATTTATATCCTACCCCTTGGTTAATTACCAAAAATGGGCATTTCTCCCCCCGCCCCTTCTCCCAGGTTCAGAAGGCAGCTTCGTAGAGAGAATATTGATAGTGTCAACAATGACTGCCTAGTTTGACCTCATCTAAGCTTGGGGCAGGAGGTGAGCCAGAGCAAGCGGGAGTCAGAAACACCTTGAAGCCGAAGGATGAGGTAGGGTCTCAAATTTGGTCCGGGAAGGGGCTTTTTTTTTCTTTTTTGGGTTACAGTAGCTAACCCCCACACATCCACCCACACTGGTGCCACTACTGACCAAGGACTTGTTCAGTACACACCCCCAAATAGCTTTTCAACATCAAAGTTGTAGTGGGATTGGAAACTTAGGTCAGGGAATCTCTCCCATTCCGCAGATGAAGGAGAAACTTTTGCAGGATCGGTGGGACGACAGTACAGAGGTTTAAGGACTTGAAGGAGAGGGAAGCTGGCTAAGGAGTTCAGGGAACTAGTACGGCAGGGGCGGCTGTAGAAGGAGCCCCGGGTCAGGAGGATCGGGTTCTTCAGCTTGAAGTTGAAGGCCTTTTTCTTTTCCCTTAGAAGAGAGCCCGGTTGGGGGTACATGGAGACTGGCACTTCAGAGCCACTGCCTATGAATGGGCCCTGTCAAACATTTCTAGTCTCAGCCACTTTCAACTGGTGTTGGCTGGGCGAGTCTTGGCTCAGCTATGTAGTATTGACTGGGCGCCGCTTAGTGGCGCTGATGGGAGTATGTTCGGCTAGGTGCCGCTAGGTTCGTTTGAATTCGGCTGGGTTCGACTGGGCGCCACTGGGCTCAGCAGCACTCGGTTGGACACCGCAGCGTCCGACTGCGTTCGGCTGTGCTCGTTTAGATTCGGCGGGGAGCCTCTGGCCTCGAGTGTGTACGGCTGTGCTCCTCCATGCTCGGCTGTGTTCGGCCAGGTTCGGCAGTGTGCCGCTGTGCTCGGCTGTGCTCGACTAGGTTCGGCTGGGAGGCGCTGGGCTCGAGTGTGTTCGGCCAGGTTCGGCTGTGCGCCGCTGAGCTCGGCTGCGCTCGACTAGGTTCGGCTGTGTTCGGCTGTGCGCCGCTGAGCTCGGCTGCGCTCGACTAGGTTCGGCTGTGTTCGGTTGTGCGCCGCTGAGCTCGGCTGCGCTCGTGTTACACTGCTTTCGGCGGGACGCCTGTGGGCACTTGGGGGGGGGAGGTGAGCCTGTGCTCGTAGAGGGCGTGAAAGCCGAAACGCCATCCAGCGGTAGCAGGTCCCCGAAAGTGAGCAACAAGGAGCTCGGCCTCGAGCCCAGAGGCTACCGACCAGAGCACAGGGGCGGGAAGCTGACTGAGGAGTCTGCCTCGGGCGCCTTCTGTGACGTCATCTTCGCGCGACAACGTGCTGACCAGCCTTGTTCACCACGTCTCAGGTTTCGCAAGGGCTTATGGGAGCGACCCGGACGAAGGTGTGTTAAGATGGCGGAGGCCGAGGAGTCCTCTGGAGAATTGGAGACAGCGACGCCTAGGCCTTTGGTGAGCTAGGGTACTGAGATAGAAGGAACCAAGGGTGAGGTAGAACTTCCCATACGGTAGTCGGGAACGGGTCGTAGCTTGAGAGAGCTAGAGGTCCTTGGCTCTGCTTGCCTTTGCATCACTTGTTAGCACCGCACCTGCTCTTTCATTTAACTCTTTCCCATCCTTCCGCCGTCCTTCTATACATTTTCGTGAGTCTCTCCTGCCCTTCCACACTAGGGAATCCTTGTCCAATAAATTGTGCTAAATGCTGAGCTTTGAATGCTTTCTGAAGTATCGATCACTGTCATTTTATCAAGACTTATCACCAGCCATTGTGACGTACACCAGAAGTAACGAGAAACTGCTTCCCATAGGACGTTGTCATTTTATTGTTTGTAACTTGTGTCATTACTTGCTCAGTGACCCTAGCAGGCTAATAATTATTTCCAGGTCATTGTCATCTTCTTCGGGACCCTTAGAGTAAAAACCACAGCATGTACTATTTAAGAATACAAGCTTTACAGTTAAACTTAGGTGGGCTGGAGTCCATTCACAGTGAAGCCTTTGTGAATCTATTAATTCCAAAGAGGATGTTTATCTCTTAAACTAAAATGAAGGTATCCGCCTTTAAGAGTTTTCAGGAAGATAAAATGACTTAACTTATATGAAGTGCCAAATACAATCAAGGCCATGAACGGAGGAGTATAAGGAAGTCAGTGTTATACCGTGATGTTCTTCCTCCCAAACAGTATTTGCTTATGTAGTGTTTGCTCAGTAAATGTTGTTTCCAGTTCTTCTATTTTAAATTGGCAGCTTAACAATAGAGAACCGAAGTGAGAGGCCAGGTGAACTTGGATCTAGTCCTGACTCTGCTCCTCACTAGCTCGATTTGGTCATCTTTTCATTCAGCAAATATTTATTGAGCGTCTACTGTGTTCCAGACGTGTTTTAACCACCAGGAATGAAACTGTGGAAGAGTGTTTTAGGTCTGGGGATATAGCTCTGCTTGGTTTGCATGTGTAATGCCTTACAGGTCCAGTCCCCAGCACTGAAGGGACAAGGTAGTTAGATCATCTTATAGATTCAGTTGTGACCTTCAATAAAATCACACTAAACCTGAGTTTATTCATTTGGAAAATGATGAAACTCATCACAAAATAGTGAAAAGTACTTGTGTGACATTGTACATTAGATTCCATAGGTGTTAATTAAAAGATATCTTTGAGAATTAACTGTATTACTTAATGTATGTTGAGCTACATTTACTTTTAACTACTATGCAAAACCCAAGTGAAATTTACAGTTGCAATTCTAGAAAATGGTGATGCTTTTGAGATATTTTGCAATCTGTTACTAGCTTAATTGTTTCTCCCATCTTTTCTTAGTTCGCTGGCCTTTCTGATATATCAATTTCACAAGACATCCCAATAGAAGGAGAGATTACCATTCCCATGCAAGGTCGTGCTCGAGAACTTGACAGATCTACGCTAAACGAATCTGTTCGCCATACCATCGTAAGTTAGACTAGTTGAGAAACCCCTTCAGTATTATAGGAGTAAATACTGCTAATACTTTCAAATATATTTGTTTTGTTCTTTGACTTTTAGTATATTTTATCTATTGAAATTTAAGATTTTCTCTTTGAGAGTGAGTTGTTATAGTCTTTTTAGCATATGGAGGGGACTTCCTGGTAACTTTAATCATTACTGTACATCAATTTATTTTTGTCTTTCAGATGCGTGATCTAAAAGCTGTGGGGAAGAAATTTATGCACGTTTTATATCCAAGGAGAAGTAATGTTTTGCTAAGAGATTGTGAGTATATGAGGGTTTTGAGGATTTGCTTCATATCATTGGTACCTTATCAATACTGCTTTATAAAGCAAAGGCAAATATAATAAAGCTGATGTTTTTTACAGGAAGAAATAGTTATATAGATTTTTGGAAGAAATTTAGAATGGAATTTTAGAAATTGAAAGACTTGGCTCATTGTATTAAGTTCATCAGTAAATATGAACCTTAAAAGTGCTCACAGCTGGGGTTGGAGAGATGGCTCAGAGGTTAAGAGCACACTGGCTGCTCTTCCAGAGGCTATGAGTTCAATTCCCAGCAACCACATGGTGGCTCACAACCATCTATACTGAGATCTGGCGCCCCCTTCTGGCCTGAAGCATATGCGCAGACAGAATACTATATACATAATAAATAAAAAAAAAATCTAAAAAAAAAAGTGCTCACAGCTGAGCTTGGTAATGTGTTTGGCTGTAGTTGGGAATTTGAAGTGATTATCACCTAAGTCTTTTGATGAGATTCAGATTGCCTCCAGACCCGGAAGTCACAGGCAGAATTTTTGATCTAAATATTTTGTATATTTGGGGGACAGATTGATTGTACATAGCTCTTAATGTGCTGGAATGGGGATTAGGAAATGAAGAAAGGGTAATTTATGACTCAGAAAGGGAATAAACCTTAGAGGGTATGGTGAAGACGTGTGGGGACAGAAGGTTGGGAAGGCTTAGGTTAAACTTGCTCCTTGGATTCTAAGACAGAGGTAAGTATTAGAATAAAGATAGGAAATATGGCATATTTGTTTCTTAACAGCCTGTCTTTTCTTTCTGTGTAGGGGATTTGTGGGGCCCGTTAATACTATGCGTGACCCTTGCATTGTAAGTATTTACATTTCCTTCATTTGAACTAGACCTTTTTTGATGGAGTTCCAGAATTAAGGAAAAATTTGACTAGGCATTTGGGAGCTCTTAAAAAAGACAGGGTTGAGCCAGGCGGTGGTGGTGCATGCCTTACTCCCAGTATTTGGGAGGCAGAGGCAGGCGGATCTCTGAGTTCAAGGCCAGCATGGTCTATAAAGCTACACAGAGAAACCTTGTATTGAAAAAATCAAAAAAAAAAAAGGTGGAGGGCACTGGGTTGTACTATGTAGCCCACACTGTCCCAGAACTTTCTGTATAGCTCAGGCTTGCCTCAAATTTGTGCTTCTCCTGCCTCTGCCTCTGCCTCCTGAATGCTAGTGTTACAAGTATGCACCACAACACTGTAGCTGTTAACATTTAAATTTATCATATACTCATTTAGATCATAATACAGTATTACTTGTACTTTTAGTAATTATACCAAGAGAACCAGTGCAGTGCCTTGAAAGGATATATGTTAAGAGCTCTTGATTTATGTGTCTGTGTGTGTGTGTGTGTGTGTGTGTGTGTGTTTTAAACAGTTAACTTTAGAGCATATGCAGTTTCACTTTACTTATTTGCAGAGAAAATTGGACTTCTAAGATAAAATTGAATGATATGGCATGTGTAGCAACAGAACTAGGATTAGTGTGAGTCACGTGCCTCCCAGAGTAGTTGGGATTCTTTTCATCCTACCATCCTCAAATGATAGGGGTTCCAGACAACAAAGAGTGTTAGCCATTCTTTGCACCTAATGGCCAGGATTTGGAATAGAGTACACATAGCCATACAATGCAGAATCCTCCACATACTGGCAGGCAGCATACCCAGACAAGATTTAATATAAAATTTCTCTATCCTATGTAAACAGAAGAGGTTATGAGCGCGATTTTTTTTTAGTATTTTTCAGGGAAAACATACTAAGTTCAGAATTCAAAACATTTTATATCTATTAAATTCTTAGACACAGAATATTTAGGTGACAGTTAAATATTTACTCAGCTTCAAAGCAAAGTCCTTTAGTAATGATATTTATATTCTGATCTTTAGAAATTGGCAACTGAATAAGTTTAAAGACTATTTCTGTTATTGAGCATGTGCTCTAGAACTTTAATGTAAGAATTACAAATTCATAGCTAAGCATGGTACCTATCTATAATCCTGGTGCTCAAGAAGCTGGGGCAGGAAGATAACAAAGGCCAGTCTAGGCCACACAAGTAGACCTTGTTTAAAATGCAAGCAAACAAACACTCAGATTTGCTAATAGCTAGAAAAGTAATACAAACATACATAGAGTACTGATCTGATGACTGGAAGGCCATATACCAGCTACACTCAATACTGTGTTAGAGTCTCAGAGTCCCAGTGTGAAAAGAAATCTCACTTTTCATATTAACCCTTAGATTCCTTTTTTGTTTTGCTTGGGAATGTAACCCAGGGCCTTATGTATGCTAGGTAGACACTTTTTCTACCACTGAGCTAATCCTCGCTGGATAGGTACATTCTCTTCTTGTATCTGAGGCCTTATGCCTCAGTCTCCTTAGTTGGGGTTATGATGCACATCACCAAGCCTACCATCAAAAATATAGTCTTGGGTGAAGCATCCCAACTTAAAAATACTGTCATTAAATTTAAAGCTCTTGTACATGTTATGAACAACAACAAAATATCTCTTGTTTGTGAGCGAGGTTTGGTTCAATAACTTATACTAGGCTTTTAGCAAGCCAGTTATACATTCCAGAGAGGTCAAAGCTCAGCATTCCTTGTTGTCCTTAGGCATTTGGATTTTAAATAAGAAAACCTTGCCAGATTCTATTGGTATTTTCCTTACAAAATATAATAGATTCCTTACAGTTGTTCAGATAAGGTATGCCATAGCAGTCTGGTGAGAGTGCATGCTTTTGTTGCTTTGTATAAAAGATTATGTAATTTTCATTGCCGTTTCTTAGGATGCTACAAAAGGGCTCTGTGGATGGAGAAAAAGATGGAGGACCACAGTTTGCAGAAGTTTTTGTCATCGTTTGGTTTGGAGCAGTTACTATTACGCTCAATTCAAAACTTCTTGGTGGCAACATGTGAGTATCATTATATGTACCCTTTCCTCTTTGCTAGGTAGCACATCATAGTGCTATTTTGATATTTTTTTAAGGATCAAATAAGAAGATCCCTTAATACCATTATAATAGAGCAACAACTCAATTGAAATTAATTTTGGAGATCAGTGATGAGCTTCAGATTTTTTTCTCCAAACCTTGAAGTTATAAGCAAATTTACTTTATGAAGATACATACTTTTACTTTTTGGGGGAACATATGATAAAACACATTCTCAAATTGGTATCTAAATAGACTAGATTAAGAACTATATTAGATCAATGGGAAATCTCTAGGAATTAGAGTAGATCATCTGATATTAGAAAATTGACTATTAAGGGGCCTAAGAGGGGAATAGGAAGAGTATAGAGAAAATGAAAGCATATGAAACAAGGGACTAGTTTCATGAAATTACCATCAGGATAAAGGTATAGATACGATAGCAGGAAGGAGGCAATAGTCCATTGAATCTGAGATAGCTGTACAATAAGATGTGTCTTGGTACCACTCAATAATACTTATAATTTGTGGATGTGTGTTGTTTTTAGTTCTTTCTTTCAGAGCCTGTGTGTCCTTGGATACTGTATCCTTCCTTTGACAGTTGCCATGCTGATTTGCCGCCTGGTGCTTTTGGCAGGACAGGGACCAATAAACTTCATGATTCGGCTTTTTGTGGTGGTGGTGATGTTCATTTGGTCTGTGGTTGGTGAGTATGTACTATTTATATCTATAGTACCAGAGTAGATAAAAACATGGATTAAAGATGGAAAGCTGATTATGAACAATGAAATTCTCCTGTCAAATGAATGTAGCCACCATAGAACCTGCTGTATTAAAGTATTGAAGGTGATAGAGTCCATGTTATGTGAGCTAGACATCTGAACTTAGAAGATGTGAAGTCACTGGACATGGTGGTATGCACGTGTAATCCCAGCTACTTTGGAGATCGAGGCAAGAAGATTGAAAGTTCAAGGCTAGACTGGACATTTAGCAATATCCTAATTCAATAAAACTTTTAAAATGAGGCTCTACTTATGGTAGAGTGCTTACTTAGCAGTTATGGGCCCTGGTTCAAGTTTCTGCACCACAGAACAGAATAAAAAGCTATACATTTTTTTTTGAGACAGGCTCTCTCTATGTCACTCAGACTGGCATTAAACTCATAATCCTCCTGCCTTTGCCTCTCAAATTGTTGGGATTACAGATCTGTACCATTCTACCTAACCTATAGCGGTTATTCTTGATAAGAAGATGAGTAGGCTTTTCTTAGATACATGAACTCTGTTTGTGTGTATAGTTGTAGATGGAACCTAGGGCCTTGTACATGCTAAGCAAGTACTCTGCCACTGAGCCATACATTCTTGCCATATAACTGAACTTGAAGTATTATTCTCTGAGGGGCTACAAATAAAACTAAATTTTTAGTGTACTTCTATATTTCAGATTATGCAATCACATTGGAGTTTAGTAAATAGTAGTTCTGGTAACATGATTATATTAAATATTTCTTTTTTGTTTTCTTTAGCATCTACAGCCTTTCTTGCTGACAGCCACCCTCCAAACCGCAAAGCTCTCGCTGTGTATCCGGTTTTCTTATTCTATTTCGTGATCAGTTGGATGATACTCACATTCACTCCATAGTGAATCTGGATACAAGCATTGAAAACAAATGAACTGAAGGCTCACCTGAAAGAATGGCTTACCAGCAACTTCCCCTCTCCCTTGTTCAGTTCTTGAGGTATTAAAAGGGAGCAACATAACACTGTTGTCATTTATATAAGGAACTGATGTTTGCAAGACTGTCCTCTTCCTCTTAATGTTATTTCTTTCGAATACATGTGCATACCACGCATAGTAAAATGCCTCCTTAAGGCATGATGAAGTTACTGTGATCCATTAGGGTAACAACCAATGACTTGAGGAGCAAGTGGATCCATTCTGCAAATTAAAAAGGGTTGGTGACCATCTTCAGCTTGGAGAATATTTGTTCAGGTGCAGCTCTTAAACACATTGCCTTATGACTATTAGAATATGCCTCTTTTCATAAGTAGTAATAGTCTGTATCCATTTTCTTTTTCTATTCTCCCCCAAACTTAAGAAGGCAAAGACAGGTTAGGAAAGTTTATAGATATGGGAGGAGAAAACATGCATTAACTAATTTTCAGATTCTGATCAGAGGTAGTGCTATACTTGGTTTGTTTTTTGTTTGTTTTTAAGCAAATGACATCTAAAGAATCAGCTTTTTAAAAATATTTTTGTATAGTTGCCTTTCTGTCATGTGTAACAGTACCTCGCCTAGTACTCTAGTTTTTAGTCTTTCACCCATTTATATTTTCCTGAATATACAACTCTAGCAGTCAAACTTGTGACTTTCCTTTGACTGAAGTTCTCAGTGGTCCAATGTTTGAGCTTTTCTAGGTAGCAGAAGACAGAAATCTACTTCATGATTTGTAATGCATATTCTCATGTGGGCACTTTCTCTTAAGGTATAGGTTACATATTACATAGCTAAAAGGACCAGTCCTCAGACTAGAAAGGAAGGCTACATCTCAAGTGTTCATTTAACCAAATGGACACAAAATCTAGTGTTCTTAAGTCTGAGTAACAGAAGGATGTTTACGTAACATGGCAAAGGGTAAGTTGAGTTTACAGCTGCTGCCTTTCCTGTAGTGGGCTCAGCAGTTTATTTTTTCATTATATATGGAGTTTTATTGTATTTGTTGGTTTGTTTCTGGCTGGGGAATAGCAATTTATTTTGTGTTTAGACTTTATTTGTAAACCTAGTTAGCTCCCCTTTAGATATGTATGTTTTGCACATGTGCACCCACCTGTACGCTCAGATATTTATGCACACAAGTGGGAAGGCTTTTCAGGGAACAGAATATCTGAGACAGGCTGATTCTCAGCTGTTACCTTCTGTTTCAATTGAAGAACTCTAATAGACAAAAATTAGGAGTCAGAGAACATTCATTGTAAATATGTAGTTACTTATAGAGATAGAAATTTCTTATTTCGTGTTTTCTTTATCATAGAATTTAAATATTTATTGATTTTGTATTTAAAGACTACCTTCATATAATATATGATTCTAAAAACATAATTTTCCCATTCTCAGAGTAACCAAATAAGCAACACCAGGCCAAATGGGTTCATGGGATGAGTTACAAAGCATTACTGAGTTTATCCTGGCTATCCCAGCCTTGTCGAAAGGTTTGGAAGTATATATTTGAATATATTGTAATTTATCTTTTAAATTATAAGCCCTGTGAGGATAAATCTAGGGTTCACTCTTGAGTTAGTAAAGAAAAAATTTGAAACTGACTCTGGTTTTTGAGATTTGTCTTAAGTTATCTCTTCCCACTATCTGAAAACTTTTAAGCTTTCCACTCAAATACCTTTCCTAAGTTTTTTGGAATCTGCCCCAGTAAGTATAATAATAAAGAAGTAACCATACTTCACAAAGGAGATTTAGTCTCTACTGGAGTTTACTCAGGTGAAATATTTACTCTGAATTCCTAAGGCCACAATTTAAGGGCATTTGGAGGGTTACACACATTGGATCCTGTGAGGGTTAATGTGTTGTTCTTGGGTAATTTGATGAATGGTTTTTGTATAGTTGAAATGTGGGCCTGGGGGGTGTAGTTCGGTGGCAGAGCATTTGCCAGGCATGCACAGTACTGTTGATTCCGTCTTGACATTGCCAAAAAAGTAGATGAACTGGAGTATTAATTACTTTTTTTTCTAGATTTGAATGGTCAAGGGGCATAATTTTTAATATATGCAAAATGTCTGTTGCTTTCTGTGACAAGTGAAGTCCTGAGTCTGGAAGTTGTAATATAGCTTTTCTTGGTTTGCTGCAAAGGCTCATGGTTGATTCTAGAAATGAAGAGTGGAAGGGCAGAAGCCTACAACAGAGGAACTCCTATTCTAGGTTGGTGATATTTCATGCTTCTGGTGAATTTCAAGCAGAATGTGTGTGGGTATCATAGCCAGCTTGCATGATCACCTGCTGCTTCTACATCTGAGACTATGACACTGTTGTTACATGGCTTAGCTATAGGAAGGGTGAAGACTTGATTTAATTGGTTCTTAGATTACAAAAACTCTTACCAATGACAACATATTTAAATGTTTTGAATGGTTCTCGAAAGTCACCATCAGATAAGGACTTTTTTTTTGTATTTGTATGTTTTGTTTGGATTTTAGCCTCAAAGTTGAATTTGATCTTTTCATTGTGTTGTGGGATCTTTCTTTTTTTGGGCAAACTTATGTATCATAAGAGTGGTAATCATTTCACTGTTGACTCCGTTTTTTATAAATAGTACCCCCAAAAATGTGATTAGAAGACTAATAAGCCTGTACTTGGAGGTGTAATATAATCTGTTGACTTGACTTACTGTATCTGAGATGCCTGCTTTTTCCTGGAGATGAAAATGAAAATTTGTCAGTTGATATTTTTGGGTACCATCGAGTCATCTATTGTATGCTGATGTTTTAGTCCGGTTTGAACACTGAAGTGACCCTTAACTAGACTGTCAGTTTCTGAGACGGTTGGATGGAAGTAAATGTATGAATGTTGATGGATCCATGTATGTAAGTTAGATATCCTTTTCTAGAGTCTGCGTGCTTTTGTTATGAATATAGAACTGACAGGAACAATAATTTTATGATTACTAATAGCTAACATTTATTGGGCACTTACTCTATACCAATTTAGTATTCTACTTTTAAAAGAACTTTTGTAATAGCTTTATTAAAGTACATTTACCATGAAATCCAGCTTTCAAAGTGTACAATTGAGTGGTTCATAGTATATTTTGAGTTCCACAACCATCACTGCTATATAATTTGAGAATGTCTGTCTTTATCCCTGTAGAGAAACCAGTCACTCCTGTTCTCTATTCACCTTCAGTTCCTGCAACTACTAGTCTGCTTTCTGTCTATTCATCTGGTCAGGCACTGTTTTTAGTGCTTGCTCTATTTCCTCACTCCTCAACATAAAGTATTATAATTCTCATTTTACAGTAGAAAATTGAGGCACAGAAATTTAATTGTCCAAGGCCATTCAGGAAGTGAATTTATGGTAAGAACATATTAGATGAGATGCAGTTTGCATTGTACTGTTAGGCACATAAAATAAATACATTCCTTCCCAGGGTGAGTCGCCTGTTACTGACCTTTGCACCCTAGAACTGACTGGAGATAGATTATGCCTTGTTCTCTTTTCAGAGTAATGGAACTCTGGCATCTGAGCAAACAAAGCAGGCAGGTTTAGAAAGAAATAGGTTTACTGCCTTTGAACCCTCTTTTCTCCTCTTTTCGCACACAATCTGTTTATTAAAGTTTGAAGAGTCAAAGTACTTTAAAATTACCCATATCACATATATATATAGTCTGTTTTTCTCAAATTTGAAGACTCAACTGTTTTTATTTTTCCTATGGAACATCTTTTTGGGTGTTTATAGTATACGGATGTATTTGGTCACATAGGGCACTGGGTATAAGACTGAAATCGTTTGAGAACTGAATGCCTTCCCATTTGATAAATGTGGTGAGCATAAAGACTTTGCCTTAATGAAGCTTGTTTATTTCTGGTCTTCTTTGGTACTCTACTTTAATTCTGATCGTTCCTATAATAAACCTGTGCAAAGAAACCTGTAAAATGGTTTGTAAATGTTGTATGTGTCAATAAAAACACTGGAAAGGGACAATTTGTGTCTGCCTTTCTGCTGAAGGTACAGAAATATTTGTACTATATTGATGGAAGATGATACATATATTCTAAATAAACAAATCTAGAATTGTGTCAATCAAGTTTAGAAAGGAAATCACATTTATTGAGCAAACATGGTATGCCCGGCTCTATATTAATCCTTAATACATTGTATCTTTATTCACACCAGCCTTTTTGTAATCAAATGCTGTGCCAAGCCCATAAGCACAACTAGAACATCAGAGAGTGAAGAAAAGTTTCTTGGAGCAAACAGTAATTGAAAACTGTGATGACAGTAGGATGAGAGATACCATAATAGAGGGAGCCATTATAGGTTTGAAGAGAAATCTGGCACTAGGAAAATTGCCAGAGATCTACAAGGATGACACCAACTGGCAATCTAAGCAATAGTGGAGAGGCTACCTTAAATGCCCTTCCCCAATAATGAGATTGACGACTACCTTAAATGCCATCCTAGAGCCTTCATTCATCCAGTGATTGATAGAAGCAAAAGCAGACATCCACAGCTACATCCACAGCTAAACACTGAACTGACTCCTAGAACCCAGTTGCAGAGAGGGAGGAGTGATGAGCAAAGGGGTCAAGACTGGGCTGGTGAAACCCACAGAAACAGCTGACCTGAGTAAAGGGGAGCTCTTGGACCCCAGACTGATGACTGAGAGGCCAGCATGGGACTGATCCAGACCCCCTGAATGTGGGTGTCAGTGAGGAGGCCTTGGCAATCTATAGGTCCTCGGGTAGAAGATCAGTATTTATCCCTGGTGCACAAATGGACTTTGGGAGCCCATTTCACATGGAAGGATGCTCTCTCAGCCTGGACACATGGGGGAGGGCCTAGGCCCTGCCCGGGATAATATGACAGACTTTGGAGATCCCCCCCCCATGGAGGGCCTCACCCTACCTGAGGAGTGGAGGGGGGATGGGGTGAGGGGTTGGGGGTATTGGTAGGGGAAGGGGAAGAGGGATCTGGGATTGATATGTGAAGCAAGCTGGTTTCTAATTTAAAATGTAAAAACATCAAAAAAAAGAGGAAAGAAAATTCTGGGACTGACTGTGAAGGTAGAGCTTACTGTGCTGGAAAGTAGAACGCCTTCAGTAGACTGTCCTTCTGAAAGTGGCTTAAAAGCAATATATGAGGGCATGGGGAGCATTTGAATTCAGAGACAGGAAAGTGTGGGTAGAAGGGTGTCCCTGTGTTTATAATTTGGAAGCCTGAAGCCCAGCTGAGAAGGTGCTGGCTCTGGCTATCAAAGTGATATTTTTTGGATAACTGAAAATACAAGTCTGCAGGGTAGTCGTCATAGCTTATAGGTGTCACTAATGTTGAAGGAGCATGGTATCTTGGACAGTCTTGATGAGAACAATAGCTTAAGGGCAAGAGTGAAGAACAACTTACAAATAAAAGTAAATGAAACTGAAACATAATCTGCTATGGATTTTCATGTATTATCATCATCTAACACTTAACCCCATAAAGATGCTGCTATCTTATAGTGCGGAGAGTTCAAACACAGGGCCTGCACATGCTAGGCAGGTGCCACTAGGCTATATCCATGCGCCTTGGTTTTTATTGTTTTTTGTTGTTTTTTTTTTTTGAGGCAGGGTCTCACCACATAACAGGCTAGCATCCTTTGCCTTGGCCTCCTGAGTATGAGGATTACAAGGCATGTACACCACAAGGTTCAACTCATAGGAGGATATTTTGATTCAAGCTTTTGTCCATAGTAAAAGACAGGAGAATGTAAAAAGAAACAGGTAAACAGACTGGGTGCTGGGTGCAACCCTTTAATCCCAGCATTCAGCAAGCGAATCTCTATGAGTTCGAGGCCATCCTGGTCTACAAAGTGAGTTCCATGACAGCCAGGGCTACACAGAGAAACAGTCTCAAACCCAAGAGAGAAATAGAGGTAAACAAATTCATTTAAGTATAGTCTTGACACTTAAAAGTCATGCATGAAGACTGTTGGAGCCTACAGTGGAGACAATTTCATCCTTAATTGTGAAACTGGCTACTGTGAAGTCTTCTCTGGAAAGAAGAAAGTCCTCTGCTGACAATAGAGAGACTGTGGACTGTACATTTCATATGTGCGCTCATAGAACACTTCATGTTAATCCAAGACATGTATAAGCCGCAACATGACACACCCGAGGCCACACAAATACTAAATGACAAAGCTGCTATTGAACTCAAGCATGTCTAGCTGCAGAGACAGGCTAGGAAATACATTCTTGATTATGTGCATCATTTCCCGGGATAAAGTTGGGCTGCTGCTATTAAGGACTGGATATTGAGTACAGCAGGTACTCTTCGTCGCAATGCTTCACTCAAATCAATTTTGAAAGGTAAATTTTGGGGCTGCCAGGAATTGAACTGAGGTCATCACACATGGTAAGGCAAGCACTCCACCACTGGAGTTACAGTCCCACCCTTACAAATGCACTCAGTTTTTGAAGCAGGGTTATCTTTACTTTAAATCATTCACAATTGCATACACCCATAATGCATGTTGCTTGTGTCCCTACATTATCCCCTTCTTCCTTACACCAAAGTTTTGTCTTTCCAACAAGTCCCCTTCCTACATCTCTGTCATTTTGTGTGTATGCACTGTATTTAATGGGAAGTTACTTGAGCAAAGGCAATTGATCAGTGGCTACACCAGAGGGTAGCTTTCCTTCACGGAGCGATAGAGCCAGCCTCGTGATACACCCTCTAGTCCATGATGGAATGTTGATGGAGCCAGTCTTGTGCATGAGCCCACTGCTACTGTGAGTTGAGACAGGGTTGGTTTTTTTTTAGCTAATTCAATAACTAAATAATGAAACAATTAATTAAAAAAGCAGATTGAATTTTTTATTACACACATTTCTGTCTTTTCATATATTTTTGACAGGAACCATTACTTAAGTCTGCTCTCTTGAAAATATCCAATACATAGCAGAGCCCCCCTCAATGTTTTATCTCTAGGTTTGCTTTTTTTATAACTGTAACCTGGCACTCATTGCTCTACAGATTTCAATTATTCCCACTCCTCATATACACCTAGTAAGCACTGCTCATGTATCCTTTAGGCTTAACATACAAATACATTAATGCAGAGTTTTTTTTTCTCTTGTTTCACTTGAAATAACACATTACTGGAAATGTCAGAGCGCCCTTGTTTTGTAAAGAGGAATAGCTACCCATTACATCTACAGTAGTTTTTCCATCTGTTTGTTGAAGAACATTTCAATGGTTTCCCAACCTCTAAGTACTATGGATTATGGAGAAGTCCTGAGCTGATTTTGATACGTTGGTTTGATTGATGAAATGATAACATAACATATAACCCTGTGGTAGTGGCAGACAGAGTAGGTGATGCAGCAGACACAGCGAGGAGCAGAAGGAATATTCTTTTTTTTCTTTTAATTTTAAATAGCTTGTTTTACATGTCAATCCCAGTTCCCTCTTCCTCCCCTCCTTCCGCAACCCCCCACCATCCCCCCAGCCTCCCACCCTATCGACATTTCCTTCCACATAGGGGATATCTAGAGTCTATCATTTCAGTCAGGGTAGGGTCCAGGCAATTCCCTAACAGTCCAGGCTGAGAGAGCATCACCCTTTATGTTATAGACACATGATGACTGTCTGTATTCCAGGGATAGACACTGATCCACTGCTCAGGACCCCATAAGTTGCCCAGGCCTCCTCACTGACTCTCACATTCAGAGGGTCTGGATCGGTCCCATGCTGTCGGTCTGGGGTCCAAGAGCTCTCCCCTGTTCAGATCAGCTGTCTCTGCTGGTTTTGCCAGCTCGTTCTTTGCCAATTTGCTCATCGCTCCTCTCTCTCTGAGACAGGGTTTTAAAAAAAACTTTCTACAGTGCCCTCCACCACAAAGGAATGGATCGCTGAGAGTTTAACACTAGGGTGTTTGTTTCACTTTTACAATTTTCTTGCTTTTTTCCCTTTGGTAAAACAATCTCACTCTTTAGCCCAGGCTCCTCTCAAATGTATTCCAGAGTATTGGGATTACAGTCATGTGCCACCACACTTTGCTGGACACAGAACACGTCTTAGGTAAGCACACACCCCTAATCTTTCATTTTTGGTCCATAATTTTAGCATTTCACTTGTGTGTAAAGAACATCCCTCAGTGATCATTGGAGAGTGCATCAACTGGCGATGGATTTTCTGAGTTTTAACTTTATAATATATGTGAGAATATTTTTACTTAATTTCTAATTAAGTAAATTCTAATACAAAAGTCTAAGATGAAAGATACCTTATCTCAGCACTTTGGATTTTCTACCCTTATTTTTAAATAAACAACTGAGCTGTGTAATCATTATATGTTTAGGGATGGATGCTTGTTGAGGTTTCATAATAAATTGAGATCCCCTTCTCCAGTGAACCACTACACATCCATCAAAAGGCTCTGCAAAGGGGTTGGCATCTTTTTTCCAGTTCTGGAAATCAGTCAAAGCCAGGACCTGCAAGTGGGCCGCAGTTTCTGGGTGCATTGTTTAAAAAGATTAGTAGTGCTAGTCAAAGCTCGCCAGGCTGATGCCATCCAGTGGCCAATGTGAGAGCCTGTGGTGCCCTTTCCCTTCCAATACCTTGCTAGACAATAGAAGGCCAAGTAGCACATATTCTTTTAGATGTGAAAACTCAAAAAGTTGACTTGAAATATTGCTAAGACTAGAGGGGTACTGGAAGGGGTAAAGGTGAAGAATGGACAATGAATTTGATTAGAACATACTGTATGTGTGCATGGCAATATCACAATGAATCTACCATAGTATTACATTTTAATATTACTATTAATAGGCATTATTTTTAAAATCTCTTTGTGATATTTTGAGTCAGATCCATGCATATTCTGCTTGAAGTGCATCTGTAAGGCTCCACGACCTCCTTTAAAGATCTTTCAGTGGGATTCCTGACACTTTCTGTTTGGGTGCTTCTGCCAGAAAGCAGGGACCATAGGAAGTCTG